CTTAAATCTCGAAATATTTGACATTGATGATATAACAGAAACGACGATGGTAAGAGATAAATAATAGCTTTAACGTACGAAATTCTATACGATTGTGAAAAAATCTCATGCTATATCTTTCAGGATTTCCGAATGCACATGTATCAAACAGAACAATGGAAGGATCCCAGACTGAGACTTGAAATGTTGAACATAACAAATTGTAAAGTACTTCCTCCGAAAGCTGCAAAATCTATCTGGATACCAGATTTGGTTTTTGACAATAGCAAATGGGGGCAACTTTTCCAGTTTTCAATTCCGAATACAGCAATCACAATATATCAAGACAATACTATTGAAAAGATATCTAGGTTTGATTTTTTAATGTTAATCTTGGTAAAGATATTGTGATTATTACGTTTTTAAGTCCATTTATATGTATTCTATATACAGTCAATATATTTCACTACAGACTCTTTTAAATTTTCGCAGTAAATTTTAACGAATTAACTGTTAATAGATAAAGTGATCCCTCAGATATGCTGTAATGTTCTTGTGTTCTAATTCAATGATACGTTCCACAGATATTGGATATCAAAATTCTGAAATTTCCCTATTATTTTGTATAAGAAACACTTTGAAACAATTTAGTATCACGATCACCAGTGTATCATGTGAATATGCTACGCTAGTATAAGGTCTGCAAGAAAAATTTTTACTTTATCTCGCGGGTGTCGGAAGGTTTTTTCGCTAATGAACTTAGAGAATAATAATCATAATACAGCGAAACCTCTGAACTATAGCCTAAAACAAGAACATGAAAAATAGACATTGTTTAGAAATTGGATGTTACTTTGTAATTTTACTTTTTACAGATACAGTTTTCGAGTGTCATGTCCCATGAAACTTCATTATTATCCATTTGATATTCAGCATTGTGTTTTCAAAATATGTTTCCGTAAGAATGATGTTTTAATTTATAATTTAAATGAATAATTTAATGTCTTTCTTAATAGTAAATTCATTAAACTGTTTACAAGAAAGTTTTCCAGGATGTGTATTAACTATTGTTTTCTCACAGTAACCAGTTCAAATGAAGAGGCATTGTTAGAGTGGGCAGGTTCTAGAGATAGTCCTTATAAAAATTATGGACCGAGTGTTATTTTTACAGAAGATATTCAACCCCTTAAGTATGAAGTGAAGATGCCGAAAGCTCGCAAAGGAACCGAGATATATATTGGTGGTAAGTAAAAATGACTATATTGAAATTCAAGTGTAGATTAATATTGTTTTTTCTATGACCTGGAAGTTTTAGTTACTTGGCTGTACATTTTACTTTCATTCGCCGCCTAACTGGCAATATAATTAATGTTTACGTACCGAGTAGTTTGGTAGTGGTTCTTTCGTGGTTATCATTCTGGTTGGACGTGAATTCGGTTCCCGCTCGAATCACACTGGGAGTGACGTCCATCCTGACACTAATTACTCAAGTGGTACAATCCAGATCGTACAGTCCACCCGTTAACTACGTCAAAGCTTTGGATATTTGGTTATTTGCCTGTACCTCATTCGTAACTGCTTCTTTAATAGAATATGCATTAGCCCATCAACTGACAGATCCTAGTTCACAAGTACGTTGAAAACATTACAGTTTTTGAAAAATTCAATAGTATTAAGTATGTACTGCTTATTTTTTAAAATGTATTTTGCAGAAACGTGAGTCATCTCCCAGTAAATCCAAAGAAAAACAAACTGACAAGCGTAGTAATTCTAAGGAGAAACTAATTAATACTTATCGACTTCTCCCATATAAACCGCATCAATAAAGGTGAAGGAAACAAATGCAATTTATTAAAAATTTTATTTAATTTATAAATATTTAATTAATGTAATGAGTTATTGTTTTTCTGGTAATGACTTCGGTTATAATAAATTCTGCACGTGTCTGTAACTATATTAAATTACTTGGCTTTCGGTGAGGTACGAACCCACTATCAGTGTTTAGTAGTGTTATTAAATTTAATAAATCTCTACGTTAGAATTTAAGTTAGTTTGTTTCTGTCTGAAATATCAAAAAGTAATCAATCGATTGAAGTGTACACTTTTCGTGTATAAATAAAACTAAACCTTATGGAAAAATCCCAAGTGAGACTGAATAATCGCTGTATCTAGGAGCATAGAACATTTTCCTCTTATGTTTGAATAGCAATATAACTTGTTAAATACTAAAATTAATTGAGTCAGAGCGTTGTCAATTCTCTTATTTGTGGCTTTTATGTGGCTCGTTCGTACTCAAAATTTGATGGACCGATTTTGATAAAACTTTGCCATTTTTCATTGATTAAGACGAGGAATTCAAAACCATATTTATAAAATGGGTCCGAAACTTCCTTTTCGAGTTAAAAGTGACAAAAATGTTCATGCACCCTGACGCGATTGGGAGCACCTAACAAAAAAATGAACACGAAAAGACCATCAAAACGCAAGAAAACATTTGTTCAATCTATATTTTAATATGTTAATATTTAACTAAAGTACAGTATGTACTATCTTTTTATTAGGTATAAATATATTTACTAAAGTAACTTAATTAAACAGAAAAACACAGCGAGAACACACGTTGAACGCCTTATATGAAACTAGTGTGAAAATTAAACTTGAATTTTCAGAGATTTAATTAAGATCGTTCGGATTACAACCCGCTCTAAATTTTCTATTATGGCTATAAAAATTCTATACTTTAAGTATACTTTCATATAGTTAACACTAAGTTTCTATTCATAGAATTTCTATTAATGATACCCTGCTTATGACAGTTCACTTTACGACCACTCCTTTTCAGGAGTCGATTACTTTGTAAAATCAGCTCGTGTCTAAATTATTACTATACAGTTTAGTATTAATTCATTATTAATATAAAAAGTTATAACTGGTGAAGCGTGAGAGACAGTGTGTCAGATTATAATCAATGACACTATTCTGTCGATACCTAGTAACCATGAAATTACGGAATCGATTTTAACAAGTTTTCTGTGCGAAACTCGATCATATTTAGGTGTGAAACTGGTGAAAAAAATCAGAACCACCTCGTTTGTCAGGTGCAAACACGCGACCAATTATCAGGTTTTAGTAGTTTTATCCACTCGGCCATTGTTAGGCAACGATAAAATATAGATACGTTATCCATGAATGCGTAACAGTGATGAAAATTAAAATAAAATAAATATATTTATTTCATTATATTGGAAATGGTATAAAATAAAAGTATATGTGAAAAAGTTATACATGTAATAACTTTACATCGCTTTCATTTATATGCTGTATAAGCTGTAAAAATCTATATTTATATAAGAGAAACCTCTAAGAACGGCCACCTTCTAACAGTGGACAATTTACACAAACTTTTAAACATAAATTCAGATAACACAACTTTTAAACAACGGCCATTATTCTTGTACCCATCACTGACTGTTATTCAGAGGTTTGAATGCAATAAAACTTTTAATATTTTAATATTAAATAAATATTTTAATAAAACTTACTTTAAAAATTGTTTTATTATAAAGAATAAAATACGCCAAGTTTCTTTATAATTAATATACAGGAGACCGGTTGTAACTACCTCATTGTAAGTTAGAAGATTATCGTTACTTAAAATAAAATTTAGTACTATAAATTGAGGTTGACTACGAAATAAAGTAAACACAGGAAACATGAACAATTGATTTTCCGGAATACTCCGACAGATGGCGTGCGAAGATTTTCTACCTGAAGTTTGAAGATCCATATCAGCGTTCAGTGTTTGTAGTGTATGGCACTGGCATGTTTCTGCATTGCTACATTGGAAACTTCGCTCAAAAATAACAGCTGTATTTTAAATTTATTATATGTAAGTAGCGTAATTGTACTTTCTACAGTAATATACTGATATAAACCTTACACGATACAGTTTTAAATAGTATTTCTTATTTCCAGAGAGTTATGAGTGTTTCTCTGGTTAGCAACGCGGCCATTAACTTGAAAATACTTCGATTAGCCAGCTGATTTGGGCTGATGATAATAGTGAAGATAAGACATTATGTAACTGTCGT